TTGACCTCCACTTCTGGCTGTTCGCTCCTCCACTTCTGGCTGTTCGACCTCCACATCTGGACTTTGTATGCACTGTGATTCCTCGCCGCTCCGACTTAGAAATACTGTAATTTTTACTGAGCAGTTTTACGTTGAGTGGTGTGCTGTTTGTTGCTGACGGGAGGGACAGGTGTGGATATCTTCCGCAGTAAGAATCAAACAAGGTATCTGACAGTTACAGACCGGGGTCCCTAATCCATAGACGCCTTCAGTTATATTGATAGTTTTCTTTCTTATTAATGTTGATGCACGTAACCTTTGCGACAAGAGAGTTGAGGTGAAGAAAACAGACAACTAAAGCAAGTTTACTTGTTGGGGGCCGACACAAAGAAAACAAAAGGGTTGAGGACGAGGAGGGGTGGTGGTGGGGGGGGGGGGTGGTTTCAACTCACACCGTAGTCTAGCTTACATATATTTAGGCTAAAAGAAGGGGTGGGGCAAGGGTCTTAATTATTGTTTATGATGATGATGATAATAATAATAATAATAATAATAATAAATAATAATAATGGACTGAATGGCAAACAAATATATCAATATTCTTGAAACAGTATGAAATGTATGAAGAAATACTTTAAAATAAAATGTATGTATGTGCTTAAAAGCGGCCGCTAAGGCAGCATTATACAGTTTAGGGGAGGCCTGAACCCCCAGGTTCTGGTTGCTGTGATCAGTTGCTCTTGAATTTTTCAATTTATGCGTGATATTTCAGGTCTTGTGGGGGGAGGGGGGTACATGGGGGGGGGGGGGGAGTGAGTGATCTCGAGGTATGGCATAGGCCTACGCCTCGAATGCTGCAGGTCCCGGGTTCAAACCCTGGTAAAGACTATGATTTTTTCACGTGGACTTCTAGTAATGCCTCCTGCTCTCTGGGTAGTAAGATCAAACGCCCGTGTGTATTGTTACGCACGTAAAAAATCCCTTGGAGTTAGAAATCGAAAAAAACGAAGCCTAACGGCTTTACCTGAGGAAAATTTGGAGTTAAAAACCTACGCAAAGTGTTTCAGGATCCTGGTCGTGCATTGTGCTGAGATTCTTCAGACTCGAGCTTGAGTTAGATGTAGAACAGAGCACTTATGGGTTACACCCGTGTGCCACGATGTTGATCCGCCGAATAAACGTAAAGTTGTCAATTGCTTATTTGTCTGTGTCCTCGACAGAAACGTGACAAGGTGCTCTAAGCTGTAATAATGGATGCGGCGGGGCATGGCCCCGGTGGGGCCGCTTTTGGCCTCACAGTGGAGGACTTGCAGACCATTATGGAACACCGAGGCCCCGAGGGCTTGGAAGTACTGACAAATAATTTTGGAGGTGTTCAAGAATTATGTAAACTGTTGAAAACATCGCCAACACTGGGTAAGTGGTCACCGCATGCTGTTGTTTCATTTTACCTGTCAGTTACTTGTTTTGAGAGGGGGGGGGGGGGGGGGGGGGGGAGCAGCAAAATAAAAAGATTCACAGTCAGAGCTGCTAAAAATTGGTTTTACCCTCAGATCTGGGTTTTCATTTGACGCTTCGAGTTCAAATTTTGAAATCGTTTTTTTTTTTTATATTTTTCCTTATAAAAAAGGTGGTAAATCTTTCTTCTCGTAACTTTAAAATTGATACTTTTTTTTTTTTAAACAATCTGGGCTTTTTATTGCTTGGGCTTTTGTTCAGGATAGCTGGATTAAAATTAAAAAAAAAAAAAACATTGTCAGCCCTGTTCACAGTCACACTGTGGCATTTTAGGAACATGGTGTTGGACCTATGACATTTTTTTTTTTCTGATTGTATGCAAGGGTACACAGGACCGGCACCCTTTTAAGGGCATTTTTTAACTGCTGCTTTAATAGACGCAAGTTTATGGTTTACATGTTTTGTCTTTGATGTTGACCACATTACCCGCCTAGTGCTGATTGCTCTATAAAATATAGGTCTAGCCCAATACGCCTAACAGTGTGGAAAAGGCTCCTTTACTTGACTGTTGTTGTCTTGATGATATCTGCAACGCTGTTTTGTTTTCCCTGGCTGTTAAAACTGAAAATCCAGATTATTTCAAGTACAAAATCCAGATTATTTCAAGTACAAAATCCAGATTATTTCAAGTACAAAATCGCAGTCATGTTTCAAAATATTTTTTTACCCCCACCCCCCCCCCCCCCCCCCCTTTTTTGAAACTTACTCCACAACTTCCCCCTTTCTCACTTTGCAGGTTTGAGACCATTGGTTTTGTCACTGAGGGAGGGTTGAGGAAGGCAAGGAAATAGTGGACAGATTGGAGTGACATGGTACAATCAAATAGTGACTTAACCCACCAGAGATTAAGACAATTTTACAATCTAGTAATGAAGAAAGATGGCTGTATACACTCACGAAATTCTCCCCTCAAGATTCACTTCATGGCCTTTTTAGAGAGGGCAATGTATTATATTCAGACTAAGGGCAGGGTACAACAGACTTTGTCAACATATGTTCAGACTTTTCGGTGTAGGAAACATGGAGAAGTGCCCCTGCTACTTGACCCTTATTTGCAATATTTGCTGGTAGGCAAGGGGATCTTTGAGCCTGAGGATTTAGGGCAGCATGACAAGTGCTGTTGCCATGGATTCTGTCGGTTAGGATTGTTTTTTAAAAAAATTTACAGAAACAAAAATATAGTGGTCAGACACTGAATAATATTATCATTATCAATCTATTAAACTGAACTGGAGAGAAGATTAACAAAAAAAAAAAAAAAAGGACCACAGACAGAAAAACAGCACGACCCTGCTGTTAAAGACCCATGTTAATTTTTTCCATGATATACTCTCATATGGCATTGAGGACATTGCTCTTGACCAGTGCCAGAGTAGTGGTGTTCTTCGTCAGACCATCTGCACGTTAATTGCTTTGAACACTTGCCTCTGTGTCTTCGGCCACAGGAATTAGATCCCTGTAGTACCTCCCCAGTGTGATGATGATTTTAGAGAGGCCATGTGGTTTGTTGTGGTTTGTGTTAAGAAAGGCTCAAGTTTGTCTCGTGTGTTAATACATTGTTCCACTTCCCCTGTTCATTAAGCTTCTTAGTCTCAATTGAGAGGAATAATTTCTTGGTATTAGTTTGACTACTGGAACTACATCGGCCATTGCACCCAGAATTTATAAGACAAGAATTTCCTATCAAGCGCTTATATGAACACCAAAAGGGAAAAGAAAACGGGAAAGACCGAGAGAGATTCTGTGTAGAACCATCATCAGAGAAGGCTTAGCCAAGGCCCTAATGAACTTCCAAGACCTAAGACAGGTGGCAACGAACTGACAGAAATGGAGAACTATGACCTTTGCTCTGTGCACCACCTTAGGCTCAAGAGGAAAGACTAACTAATTAATTAGCTGGACTGCAGTCACCCCTGTTGTCATCAGTATAGGTGGCTGAAAGAGTTAAAGCTAACTCACATATTTCCCTCTTTTGTCCTCAGGTCTGGATGAGACTGATATTGAACTCAGGCGGAAGGTGTTCGGCTGCAATGTGATTCCCCCCAAACCACCCAAGAGCTTCTTTCAGTTAGTATGGGAAGCATTGCAAGATGTGACTCTGATCATCCTCATTGTTGCTGCTATCATCTCTCTAGGATTATCATTCTATAAACCTCCAAAGGAAACTGCTGGTAATTATCTGAGTGTGCTGTATGAGACTGTGTTCAGAACATTGGTAGTCATCTGTGTGTGCTATATTGGTAGATATCTGTCTGTGCTATATTGGTAGATATCTATTTGTGCTATTTCTGTGCTATATTTGTAGGTAAATATTTGTGATATATTGGCGGACATCTATTTCTGCTATACTGGTAGATATAAATTTGTGCTTTTTTTGTGGGTATCCTTTTTGCTTTATTGGTTAATATATGTCTATGAGATATTGGTAGATTATCTATTAATACCCACCGGTAGACATCTTTTTGGATTACATTGGTAGACATATATTTGTGCTACATTGTTAGATATCTATTTGTGCTATACTGGTTTATATCTATTTGTGCTACATTTTTAGATATCTGCTTATGCTATCTATATTCTTAAAAAAAGGGTAGTTATCTGAAACTGCTAGATTATATACTGTACATAGATAGTTATCTCTGTCTGCTAGATTGTATACATTAGATGGATAGTTATCTGAGTCTTCTAGGTTATGTACATTAGATAGGTAGTTATCTGTGTGTTCTAGATTATATACATTAGATGGGTAGTTATCTGTGTGTGATAGATTATATACAGTAGATGGATAGGTATCTGAATGTTCTAGATTGTATACAGTAGATGGATAGTTATCTGTATCTTCTAGATTATATACAGTAGATGGATAGTTATCTGAGTGTTCTAGATTATATACAGTAGATGTGTAGTTATTTGAGTGTTCTAGATTATATACAGTAGATGGATAGTTATCTGAGTGTTCTAGATTATATACAGTAGATGGATAGTTATCTGAGTGTTCTAGATTATATACAGTAGATGGATAGTTATCTGAGTGTTCTAGATTATATACAGTAGATGGATAGTTATCTGAGTGTTCTAGATTATATACAGTAGATGGATAGTTATCTGAGTGTTCTAGATTATATACAGTAGATGGATAGTTATCTGAGTGTTCTAGATTATATACAGTAGATGGATAGTTATCTGAGTGTTCTAGATTATATACAGTAGATGGATAGTTATCTGAGTGTTCTAGATTATATACAGTAGATGGATAGTTATCTGTGTGTTCTAGATTATATACAGTAGATGGATAGTTATCTGAGTGTTCTAGATTATATACAGTAGATGGATAGTTATCTGTGTCTTCTAGATTATATACAGTAGATGGATAGTTATCTGAGTGTTCTAGATTATATACAGTAGATGGATAGTTATCTGAGTGTTCTAGATTATATACAGTAGATGGATAGTTATCTGAGTGTTCTAGATTATATACAGTAGATGGATAGTTATCTGAGTGTTCTAGATTATATACAGTAGATGGATAGTTATCTGAGTGTTCTAGATTATATACAGTAGATGGATAGTTATCTGAGTGTGCTAGATTATATACAGTAGATGGGTAGTTATCTGAGTGTCCTAGATTATATACAGTAGATGGATAGTTATCTGTGTCTTCTAGATTATATACAGTAGATGGATAGTTATCTGAGTGTTCTAGATTATATACAGTAGATGGGTAGTTATCTGAGTGTTCTAGATTATATACAGTAGATGGATATACAGTAGATGGATACAGTAGATTGATAGTTTAGATCTGTGTTTCTAGATTATATACAGTAGATGGATAGTTATCTGAGTGTCCTAGATTATATACAGTAGATGGATAGTTATCTGAGTGTGCTAGATTATATACAGTAGATGGATAGTTATCTGGTGTGATTATATACAGTAGATGGATAGTTATCTACAGTAGATGGGTGGTAGTTATCTGAGTGTTCTAGATTATATACAGTAGATGGATAGTTATCTGAGTGTTCTAGATTATATACAGTAGATGGATAGTTATCTGAGTGTCCTAGATTATATACAGTAGATGGATAGTTATCTGAGTGTCCTAGATTATATACAGTAGATGGATAGTTATCTGTGTGTTCTAGATTATATACAGTAGATGGATAGTTATCTGTGTGTTCTAGATTATATACAGTAGATGGATAGTTATCTGAGTGTTCTAGATTATATACAGTAGATGGATAGTTATCTGTGTGTTCTAGATTATATACAGTAGATGGATAGTTATCTGTGTCTTCTAGATTATATACAGTAGATGGATAGTTATCTGTGTGTTCTAGATTATATACAGTAGATGGATAGTTATCTGTGTGTTCTAGATTATATACAGTAGATGGATAGTTATCTGTGTCTTCTAGATTATATACAGTAGATGGATAGTTATCTGTGTGTGCTAGATTATATATAGATGGTAGTTATCTGGTAGTTATATACTAGTGTAGATGGATGTTATCTGTGTGTGCTAGATTATATACAGTAGATGGATAGTTATCTGTGTCTGCTAGATTATATACAGTAGATGGTAGTTATCTGTGTGTGCTAGATTATATACAGTAGATGGATAGTTATCTGTGTGTGCTAGATTATATACAGTAGATGGATAGTTATCTGAGTGTTCTAGATTATATACAGTAGATGTAATCTGTGCAGATTATACAGTAGATCTAGTTATCTGTATGTGCTAGATTATATACAATAAATGCATAGTTATCTGTGTGTGCTACATTATATATAGTGGATAGGTAGTTATCTGTGCATGCTAGATTATATACAGCAGATGGGTAGCTATCTGTTTGTGCTAGCTTATATACAGAAGATGGTTAGTTATCTGTTAATGCTAGATTATATACAGTAGATGGGTAGCTATCTGTTTGTGCTAGATTATATACAGTAGATTGTTAGTTATCTGTGTATGCTAGATTATATACAGTAGATGGGTAGCTATCTGTTTGTGCTAGATTATATACAGTAGATTGTTAGTTATCTGTGTATGCTAGATTATATACAGTAGATGGGTAATTATCTGTGTGTTGTAGATTGTATATCTGTGTGCTAGATTATTTTTTACCAGAACTGTATGGTAAGCAAAGATTTGTAACACTACACTATATCAAGTTTTGATTACCAAACCTGTATAGAAAAGAAAGTGTAGTAAAAATGCACTATTTCAAATATGAGATACTGACCCTTTGTAAGAAGATAGAGTAGTAACACTGCACTATATCATGTATGTTTACCAAACCTGTATGGGAAGCAAAGAGTAGTAAGTAATATAATCACTGCACCGCATTAAGTATGGGTTATCAAAGCTTTATAGGAAGCAAAGAGTAGTAACACTGCATGTACTATATCAAGTATGATTACCAAACTTGTATAGAAAGCAAAGAGTAGTAAAAATGCACTACTTCAAAGTATGGGTTACCACCCTTTATAGGAAGCAAAGTGTAGTAACACTGCACTATATCAAGTATGGGTTACCAAAGCTTTATAGGAAGCAAAGAGTAGTAACACTGCATGTACTATATCAAGTATGGGTTACCAAATCTTTATAGGAAGCAAAGAGTAGTAACACTGCATGTACTATGTCAAGTATGGGTTACCAAATCTTTATAGGAAGCAAAGAGTAGTAACACTGCACTATATCAAGTATGGGTTACCAAATCTTTATAGGAAGCAAAGAGTAGTAACACTGCACTATATCAAGTATGGGTTACCAAATCTTTATAGGAAGCAAAGAGTAGTAACACTGCACTATATCAAGTATGGGTTACCAAAGCTTTATAGGAAGCAAAGCAAAGTGTACTGTAACACTATGGTTACCAATTATAGGAAGCATGGGTTACACAAACTATATCAAGTATGGGTTACCAAATCTGTATAGGAAGCAAAGAGTAGTAACACTGCATGTACTATATCAAGTATGGGTTACCAAACCTGTATAGGAAGCAAAGTGTAGTAACACTGCACTATATCAAGTATGGGTTACCAAATCTTTATAGGAAGCAAAGAGTAGTAACACTGCACTATATCAAGTATGGGTTATCAAAGCTTTATAGGAAGCAAAGAGTAGTAACACTGCACTATATCAATAATGGGTTACCAAAGCTTTATAGGAAGCAAAGTGTAGTAACACTGCACTATATCAAGTATGGGTTACCAAAGCTTTATAGGAAGCAAAGTGTAGTAACACTGCACTATATCAAGTATGGGTTACCAAACCTGTATAGGAAGCAAAGAGTAGTAACACTGCACTATATCAAGTATGGGTTACCAAACCTGTATAGGAAGCAAAGAGTAGTAACACTGCACTATATCAAGTATGGTTTACCAAACCTGTATAGGAAGCAAAGAGTAGAAACACTGCACTATATCAAGTATGGGTTACCAAAGCTTCATAGGAAGCAAAGAGTAGTAACACTGCCCTACACCAAGAATGGGTTACCAAACCTGTATAGGAAGCAAAGAGTAGTAACACTGCACTAGATTAAGTATGGGTTACCAAACCTGTATAGGAAGCAAAGAGTAGTAACACTGCACTATATCAAGTATGGGTTACCAAATCTTTATAGGAAGCAAAGTGTAGTAACACTGCACTATATCAAGTATGGGTTACCAAACCTGTATAGGAAGCAAAGAGTAGTGACACTGCATGTACTATATCAAGTATGGGTTACCAAACCTGTAATAGGAAGCAAAGAGTAATAACACTGCACTATATCAAGTATGGGTTACCAAAGCTTTATAGGAAGCAACAAGTAGTAACACTGCACTATATCAAGTATAGGTTACCAAACCTGTATAGGAAGCAAAGAGTAGTAACACTGCACTATATCAAATATGGGTTACCAAATCTGTATAGGAAGCAAAGAGTAGTAACACTGCACTATATCAAGTATGGGTTACCAAACCTGTATAGGAAGCAAAGAGTAGTAACACTGCACTATATCAAGTATGGGTTACCAAACCTGTATAGGAAGCAAAGAGTAGTAACACTGCACTATATCAAGTATGCTGTAAAAGACAGCTTTTGACAGGGTTAGGTATGGGGCTGGATAACCCTTCCTGATGTAATTAGCTATCACAGTGCTCAAAGCCAGCCAGCTGTGAATAAGTTTAACAAAAGTCGGCACGTATTGGTTGATGACCTATGCTCCATTGGAGGACAAAGGGCAGATGAAAAGGAAGATGTTTACTTTACTGTAGCTTTCCTTACTTAACTGAGGCCTTTTATTAATCATTGTATTACCAGAGTGCCATGAAACAGGCATGGACTGCCTTTACTCAGGTAATTTCTGGAAAAAAAAGATTCATGTACCCATTTTGTTGCATATTTAATAAAGCGTTCTTTATTATTATAATTTTTTTGTTGTTGTTGAGAAACTGTGTTAATTGTTTGACTTTTTGTTCAGATCTTGAGATGTTAAAGTTGTATTTACTCCACTTTGAAATAAGCATAATTTGATTGTTGATTTTTATTAACTTTATTTTTTTTTTTAAATTTATTTTGTAAATAATATCCCTCACCTCTTAAATTAAATTTTGTTCCTCACCACCAAATAGGAAACACTGCTCTAGAAGGTAGAGTATGAGGCTTTAACATTCAAGTTATATAAGACAGTAAGACAATATGAGACAGCCTCATATACAAGCACAGATATGATGCAAACAAAGCAGTACATCTAGCCTTGTAAAGCAAGCTTTGAGTTTCTCAGTCGCTACATTTAACTTTTTCAGTCCTAGACCGTTCTCTTTATTAAGATATTCTCTTTTATAGACACTTGCATGTGGGTCAGAAGATCGTGGGTTAAAATCTGCATGGAGCCGTATTTACAAAAACAAAAACAAATAAGTGCCAGGTAAATGTCCTGCGAAGTAAAGGCAGCCAGTAGGATGTTGACCACATCACCCGTCAAGGGCCAGTTGGTCTATAAAAAATATGAGTCTAGCTTCATATTCCTAATGTGCCTTTTACTTACTTTCCTTTTACTTACTTTCCTTTTACTTACTTTCCTTTTACTTACTTTCCTTTTACTTACTTTCCTTTTACTCACTTTCATTTTACTTACTATATGCTTTTCTGAGCTTCGTTTCCTCCATCGAGCTGTAAAGTGAATCCTGCCTGTTCTAAATGTTACTTCAGTTTCCCTTTTGCCCCACAGTGTTATCACTTGAACCTCTTCAGATGCAAGCAGTTATTACTTTAACTCTTTCTGCCCCAGATAATCAATGTTAAAGTCCGTTTGAGGCAATAATGATGACACCAGAGCCGTGGGTGCCAGATACAGAGCAGATATGATGTTGGAGTAATTCAGTATAGAATGGCACAGTGTACAATGAACAAACATACAAACATGTTGACTGATGCATAAGAGTAATTCTCAGTCATGCACGATGCATTGTTTGGGAGGTAAAGAGTTCAGTGACAGCAGTTTAGAAAAGAAGAGTTAAAGAGACGGATGCTGGAAGCTAAAATAGTTCATTCTTTCTTACCCAGAGTTCATATGCTCACATGGCAACTTTATCAGATAAATACAGTTAAGAAAAGTGTGTGAGGTGTGAGTGGTCAAAGATAAATTTCCTGATTGGTCATGCCTATTGCAGCACGCTTGCTGTCTCTACTGCTGATGAGCCAAGCTGTATGGATCAGGGGAGAACATGTGTTGTTCGTAGAGGACTGTGGCCTTCTCATCTGAAAACAACTGGCATTGAAAACATCTACACACACAAAAAGACACCATTGGCAAGAGGAGTAAAACAGTTAAATTAACGGGTTCATGTAGAAATTATCTGTAAGAGTCAGAAACACGCACTGTCTTTGGACTAATTTAATTATTGTGAATGATACAGTACTACTTACTCACTTAGTCGTTGCTCTTCTACCTTGGGGTATAGAGATTTGCTAGAGAGATGGCGAGGCTTACCCATCAGCAGTTTTTTTTTTTTTTACTTTGCTCCATTCCAGTCCACTGTCAGTTAATGACTGTCAGATGTTCTCTTCCCAGCAAACCCCGGGTCATCCTGGTGGTCTGGTTCCCTGGTTTTTTACCTTTTATGCCTGCCATGGTGGCCGATTCTCTGCATACATGTCCAAACCATCATTTTTGACTTATTCACCCTAGTTTGGTAGGCCTGGATTTCAAGGTCAGGACATATTGTCTGACTGCGAAATTTGTTCCCATCTTGTCACTTGGATCATGTAATATGGGAATTCCTGGGGAACCCCTTATAATGTGTTAAATGAATGTCGTCTGTGTCATGAAAGCAGGGGAATGGCTGCAGTCTTAAATCAATGAACCGAGAGCGGTTGCAAAATCTACGTTATGGATGATTCCATGCCTGTTCGTCAAAATAAGAAGCTTGGACTGAAAGGTAAATACTTGTGTGCTTGACGAATGATGTTATTTGCCATCTTTTATGCCAGCCAACTTCACGACGACTGGATAACGAGACAACCAACTGGACTGCATTGTCGTTGGGAATGCAATAAACATTTGACTGTATCCAGTAGGTGTGGTTTACATCATTGTGTTCTAACTCACTTAACAACATGGTAGAAGTTAGAAACACACCCAGGCAAGCCCAGTTACTATCCAGGAACAGCATCATTCCAGACCACTTTTCTCAAATACCTCATTTCTGGGGCTTGAGGCTGGCTTCTGTGAGGTATTGTCATTGACCATGACTGACACCCATTTGTCAGGACTGGCACCTAGCTAGAGCGGTACACAGCCAGTTTTGTCCTTTCATTAATTTTTCAAGCATAGTACTAACAGAGTTAAATTTACAGTTGTTTCGTTTAGAATGAATTAAAGTAAAACTAAAAGAGTTTATTTATTTATTGTTTCCCTCTGAAAACAGCCTCAGTAAGGGAGGAAGACACATACAGGGATGACGAGGAGGGTCTGGAAGAGGCAGCTGGCTGGATCGATGGTCTGGCCATCCTGGTGGCTGTGGTGGTGGTGGTTGTGGTGACAGCATTTAATGACTGGAGTAAAGAGAAGCAGTTCCGGGGCCTCCAGAGTCGAATTGAAAATGAGCACAAGTTTGCAACCATCCGCAGAGGTGTCCTCGAGCAGATTCCAGTGAGTGATCTGGTTGTCGGAGACATCTGCCAAGTGAAATATGGTAAGTAGAGTCTCTGTGAAACTGTAGCAGTTCTTCTTGTTATAGTTCATGATTTATCTGTAAACATGTCAGCGCTGACAGGAAGTAGAACTAGTTATCTCTTCAATACCACAGTCATGAATCAGAAGTTGAAAATTGCAGCTTGAAAGCCTTCATCAAGACTTCTGTCTCATGCACTTTCAGTCATTTCTGACACAGACATTTTCTCCTGAGTTAACCGAGCCATATGTGGTCTGGCATTGTCATGAAGGAGCAGTACTCCCCTAGTCAGCAGGCCTGGAGGTTTTCTTTGAATTGCATCATGAAGCATCGATAGAACTTTATGGGATAAAGATTTTTCAGCATAAACAGGAAGCATATCCTTATGAATGTCCTTTGCAGGCAGCCCTTTTGCCCCCTTCCCCCCCCCCCCCCCCCCCCCACCCTAATACACAACACGTTGTTCTTTGAGGGTATGCTCTGTAAATGCAGTCGCCATTTTGTTTCTGTTTTGCAAATGTGCATGCATTACCTAGTGCCACCTAACAAACCCAGACATAAAGTTTGATGTTGCTGTCACCTAATGACATCTTTAGAAACCAACTACATTTTCCTGCCATCCCATAACCATTTGTGTTTTACTTATTGACTTCCCCTAATATCTAGAGAAATAAAAAAAAATCATTCAGATTATTAGAATGTAAATAATGATGAAACAAGCAATGCATTTCACAGTTTATTGCTTGTCATATGTGGCTGAATCTAATCAGGTGCATTACTACAACAGATTTACCTCAACAGATAATAAAGCGCAGACATTAATTCATTCTGTTTACTGAAGTCACATTACCACAGTGTCTTTAGTTGCAAGACAGTTTATCTCTCCACCATCAATTTAAAATTAGTCCTATGATTACAACACCACCCCACCCCCTTTCCCAATCCCCACAAAATGCAGGATTTTTCATTCTGTGCAGACAAAATGAACACTTAAGTCTTTCAGTAGCAAACCATTCACCATATGTTTTTTGGTCATTTCAAAATAATTTGATATTCATGGTGTCTTATATAAAGGGGGTGGGGGGGGGGGGGGGGGGGGGGGGGGGGGGGGGGGGGGGTTATATTAACACTTTGTATTTAAATTATTAGTTTTAATTGTTTGTTTCATAGCATCTCTATTGAACTCCTTCCGGCATTTCAAGTATGTATTGCTTTTAAGCTCAACTCCTTGCAACAGAAGGGTTAAAGAAACTACTACTTAAGACCAAAGGATTAAACTGTTGGTACTATTTCTTCACCAGGTGACCTTTTACCAGCTGATGGTATTGTTATCCAGAGCAATGACCTCAAAGTGGATGAGAGCTCTCTCACTGGAGAGTCAGACCATGTCAAGAAGGGAGAGACCACTGACCCCATGCTGCTATCAGGTCAGCACCATTACACAACTGCTGCTTTTGTGTGTGTGTGTCTCATGTTGGTGTAAACGACAGGGCATCACAGAGAGCAGTGTTATACAGATACAATGGTAACAGAGCCAGAGGTCGACCATGCAGAAAACGGACCACAGAAATATCAGAGACACTGAAAAGTACTTTAAATGAAGTGAACAGAAGGGCCCAATCCAGAGATCTCTTTCTGCCCTGACACTGTGAGGCATTCTAGGAATAGAGAAAAGAAGATGATGAAGTGTGAAGTATGTCCTGTCATGCAACTTCTTCTTCTTCTTTCAGTTGCTAGAAATAAATTGTCTATATCTGCAATGTTGTCTCTGTCAACTTCACTGTCTTTTTAATTCACTGAGAGACCCAAAAGTTTGCTTTTCACCAATGTTCCTCTTGGCCAGAAATTTTGCTTTGATATATTGTATTTGGGATAGTCTTGGAGGACGTTATCTCTCATAGAACTAATTTGTTGTTGTCTAGTATGTTCCTGCCCAGCAACTATTTGTCTTTGACATTGTTGAGTATGTTCTTCTGTCTAGCATGTTCCTGTCCTGCAACTATTTGTCTTTGACACTGTCGAGTATGTTCTTCTGACTAGTATGTTCCTGTCCTGCAACTATTTGTCTTTGACACTGTCGAGTATGTTCTTCTGACTAGTATGTTCCTGTCCTGCAACTATTTGTCTTTGACACTGTCGAGTATGTTCCTCTGTCTGGCATGTTCCTGCCCTGCAACTATTTGTCTTTGACACTGTCGAGTATGTTCCTCTGTCTAATATGTTCCTGTCCTGCAACTATTCGTCTTTGACACTGTCGAATCTGTTCTTCTGTCTAGTATGTTCCTGCCCTGCAACTATTTGTCTTTGACACTGATGAGTATGTTTCTCTCTCTGGCATGTTCGTGTTCTGCAACTATTTTCTTTGACACTGTCTATTATGTTTCTTTCCTACAGCTATTTTCTTTGACACTGTCTATTATGTTTCTATCCTACGGCTATTTTCTTTGACACTGTCTATTATGTTTCTATCATATGGCTATTTTCTTTGACACTGTCTATTATGTTTTTATCCTACAGCTATTTTCTTTGACACTCTCTATTATGTTTCTATCCTACAGCTATTTTCTTTGACACTGTCTATTATGTTTCTATCCTACGGCTATTTTCTTTGACATTGTCTATTATGTTTCTATCCTACAGCTATTTTCTTTGACACTCTCTATTATGTTTCTATCCTACAGCTATTTTCTTTGACACTGTCTATTATGTTTCTATCCTACGGCTATTTTCTTTGACACTGTCTATTATGTTTTTATCCTACGCTATTTTCTTTGACACTGTCTATTATGTTTTTATCCTACAGCTATTTTCTTTGACACTGTCTATTATGTTTTTATCCTACAGCTTTTTTCTTTGACACTGTCTTTTATGTTTCTATCCTACAACTATTTTCTTTGACACTGTCTATTGTGTTTTTATCCCACAGCTATTTTCCTTTACACTGTCTATTATGTTTCTATCCTACGGCTATTTTCTTTGACACTGTCTATTATGTTTTTATCCTACGGCTATTTTCTTTGACACTGTCTATTGTGTTTCTATCCTACAGCTATTTTCTTTGACACTGTCTATTATGTTTTTATCCTACGGCTATTTTCTTTGACACTGTCTATTATATTTCTATGTCTATCATGTTCCTGTCCTACAGTTATCTTTCTTCGACATTCTATCATGCTCCCATCCTACAACTAATTTTCTTTGACATTGTCTGGTATGTTCCTGTCCTGCAACTTTTTTTTCATTGACAATAGACTAGTATGTTCCTTTGTCTGTTATGCTTATGTATTATTACTTATTTTTCCTTGACACCGTCTAGTATGTCTCTGTCACACAGTTATTCTTCTCAAACACTGTCTAGTACATCCCTGTCTTACAACTATTTCTTTTCCCCACTGTCTAGTACATCCCTGTCTTACAACTATTTCTTTTCCCCACTGTCTAGTACATCCCTGTATTACAACTATTTCTTTTCCCCACTGTCTAGTACATCCCTGTCTTACAACTATTTCTTTTCCCCACTGTCTAGTACATCCCTGTCTTACAACTATTTCTTTTCCCCACTGTCTAGTACATCCCTGTCTTACAACTATTTCTTTTCCCCACTGTCTAGTACATCCCTGTCTTACAACTATTTCTTTTCCCCCACTGTCTAGTACATCCCTGTCTTACAACTATTTCTTTTCCCCACTGTCTAGTACATCCCTGTCTTACAACTATTTCTTTTCCCCACTGTCTAGTACATCCCTGTCTTACAACTATTTCTTTTCCCCACTGTCTAGTACATCCCTGTCTTACAACTATTTCTTTTCCCCCACTGTCTAGTACATCCCTGTCTTACAACTATTTCTTTTCCCCACTGCCTAGTACATCCCTGTCTTACAACTATTTCTTTTCCCCACTGTCTAGTACATCCCTGTCTTACAACTATTTCTTTTCCCCCACTGTCTAGTACATCCCTGTCTAACAACTATTTCTTTTCCCCACTGTCTAGTACATCCCTGTCTTACAACTATTTCCCCCTCCCCCTACCCCCCCCCCCCCTACCCCCACTGTCTAGTATGTTCCTGGCCTACATTTTATTGTCTTTAACAGTCCAGTATGTATTTTTCTCTTTCTAGTATGTTGATCAGGTCCTACAACTATTTTTCTTTGACATTGTCTACTATGAGGTGCATTTAGAAAATAACTCCCCAAACATGTTTTTTTCTCATATAGACTGTACAAAATGTATGGTATTTGCTGACATTATAACTCGTTAAGTCCTTTACTCATGATTATTACTTCACAGATCATTATTCCTTTACATACCAAATTGTCTATATGCTATTTGTCCACTTCTATGAACTTATGCCACTGCATAAGAAGGAAATTCAGGCCTCGTCTCTCTCTCAGGTTTTCCAGTTCTCTGAGACATTTCTTCCCAACATGAATAACTTCTGCAACTCTTTCTCTCCACTTCCTAAAGTTTTAACTCTGTGAACCCAGCAGACATCTGTGCTTCTTTTGACTGCTTCCATCTACAGCTAGCTACACAAACATTTTTAATATTCACCACAATTTCTTTTCTGCAACCAAAGATTCTACAACAGTTTGAATATGTAATGCATATTGTCCTTGCCCTTCAGTTTAATTAATTAGTGCTTCTGTTTCTCTTGTTGGAATAAGTTGCCATTTCATACATTAATACATACAGTATTGACATTTCAGATTTGAAGCCTGTACAATTTCCTGTTTCTGTCTTCATTATTCAGTAAACAAAATATGTGGGGCATAACTTTCTGAGCGCCCCTCATATGTCCGGCATAAAACAATTGTTCCTTGACACTTGCTTAGAATTTTCCTGTTGTACAACCATTTTTTTTTTGGTACTGTTTATTTAAAATGTGACCTAATAACCTTTCAAGCTTTAAATGTCATTTGTGTGAATGAAACTATACTCAGAAAGCTCACTGAAGAGAAAGGAATAGAGTGGCACAAATACAGTCATATGTCTATAAAAAATAAAACAACAGATATAAACAATTCAAGCCATCCTTACACAGAGTTGCATGTTACAACTTGCTGGTTTAGCCATCAGGGCACCCTGTTTATAACTTCTTTGAAGGTTATACAGGATATCTGGAATCTGCCATGTTTGTCTGCTGACCTCAGATGGTATGGTACACTTTTAGTTAATAGCCTGGAGGGTAGAGACTGATCAGTTGATCATAAACCCAAGGAAACCAAATAGAAGGTCAAAACAGAAATATGTTGCCATCCTGTGTGAGCTTCCATTTGTTTATTGTGGTCAACGGATCCATAGTCATAGATTTTGTTTTAATTTACATCTTGACATCAGCTCAACTGTTGTCACTCCTGTTTTCAACATCAAACATTTAAATCTGTTTCTTTATCATTGTATTGTATTTTACTTATACAGTCCCTCTCATTTAATGTTGTGTCTTTAACATTGTCTTCTGTTTTACTGATACAGTCCCCCTCATTTAATGTTGTCTTTATCATTGTATTTTATTTTACTGATACAGTCCCTCTCATTTAATGTTGTCTTTATCATTGTATTCTATTTTACTGATACAGTCCCTCTCATTTAATGTTGTCTTTATCATTGTATTCTATTTTACTGATACAGTCCCTCTCATTTAATGTTGTGTCTTTATCATTGTATTCTATTTTACTGATACAGTCCCCCTCATTTAATGTTGTCTTTATCATTGTATTCTATTTTACTGATACAGTCCCTCTCATTTAATGTTGTCTTTATCATTGTATTCTATTTTACTGATACAGTCCCTCTCATTTAATGTTGTCTTTATCATTGTATTCTATTTTACTGATACAGTCCCCCTCATTTAATGTTGTCTTTATCATTGTATTCTATTTTACTGATACAGTCCCTCTCATTTAATGTTGTCTTTATCATTGTATTCTATTTTACTGATACAGTCCCTCTCATTTAATGTTGTGTCTTTATCATTGTATTCTATTTTACTGATACAGTCCCTCTCATTTAATGTTGTGTCTTTATCATTGTATTCTATTTTACTGATACAGTCCCTCTCATTTAATGTTTTGTCTTTATCATTGTTTTCTATTTTACTGATACAGTCCCTCTCATTTAATGTTGTCTTTATCATTGTATTCTATTTTACTGATACAGTCCCTCTCATTTAATGTTGTCTTTATCATTGTTTTCTATTTTACTGATACAGTCCCTCTCATTTAATGTTGTCTTTATCATTGTTTTCTATTTTACTGATACAGTCCCTCTCATTTAATGTTGTCTTTATCATTGTATTCTATTTTACTGATACAGTCCCTCTCATTTAATGTTGTCTTTATCATTGTTTTCTATTTTACTGATACAGTCCCTCTCATTTAATGTTGTCTTTATCATTGTATTCTATTTTACTGATACAGTCCCTCTCATTTAATGTTTTGTCTTTATCATTGTATTCTATTTTACTGATACAGTCCCTCTCATTTAATGTTGTGTCTTTATCATTGTATTCTATTTTACTGATACAGTCCCTCTCATTTAATGTTTTGTCTTTATCATTGTTTTCTATTTTACTGATACAGTCCCTCTCATTTAATGTTGTCTTTATCATTGTATTCTATTTTACTGATACAGTCCCTCTCATTTAATGTTGTCTTTATCATTGTATTCTATTTTACTGATACAGTCCCTCTCATTTAATGTTTTGTCTTTATCATTGTTTTCTATTTTACTGATACAGTCCCTCTCATTTAATGTTGTGTCTTTATCATTGTTTTCTATTTTACTGATACAGTCCCTCTCATTTAATGTTTTGTCTTTATCATTGTTTTCTATTTTACTGATACAGTCCCTCTCATTTAATGTTGTCTTTATCATTGTATTCTATTTTACTGATACAGTCCCCCTCATTTAATGTTTTGTCTTTATCATTGTTTTCTATTTTACTGATACAGTCCCCCTCATTTAATGTTTTGTCTTTATCATTGTTTTCTATTTTACTGATACAGTCCCTCTCATTTAATGTTGTCTTTATCATTGTATTCTATTTTACTGATACAGTCCCCCTCATTTAATGTTTTGTCTTTATCATTGTTTTCTATTTTACTGATACAGTCCCCCTCATTTAATGTTGTCTTTATCATTGTATTCTATTTTACTGATACAGTCCCCCTCATTTAATGTTTTGTCTTTATCATTGTTTTCTATTTTACTGATACAGTCCCCCTCATTTAATGTTGTCTTTATCATTGTATTCTATTTTACTGATACAGTCCCCCTCATTTAATGTTTTGTCTTTATCATTGTTTTCTATTTTACTGATACAGTCCCCCTCATTTAATGTTGTCTTTATCATTGTTTTCTATTTTACTGATACAGTCCCCCTCATTTAATGTTTTGTCTTTATCATTGTTTTCTATTTTACTGATACAGTCCCCCTCATTTAATGTTTTGTCTTTATCATTGTATTCTATTTTACTGATACAGTCCCTCTCATTTAATGTTGTCTTTATCATTGTATTCTATTTTACTGATACAGTCCCTCTCATTTAATGTTGTCTTTATCATTGTATTCTATTTTACTGATACAGTCCCTCTCATTTAATGTTGTGTCTTTATCATTGTATTCTATTTTACTGATACAGTCCCTCTCATTTAATGTTGTGTCTTTATCATTGTATTCTATTTTACTGATACAGTCCCTCTCATTTAATGTTGTCTTTATCATTGTATTCTATTTTACTGATACAGTCCCTCTCATTTAATGTTGTGTCTTTATCATTGTATTCTATTTTACTGGTACAGCCCCTCTCATTTAATGTTGTATCTTTATCATTATTTTCTATATTACTGATACAGTTCCTCTCATTTAATGTTGTATCTTTATCATTATTTTCTATATTACTGATACAGTTCCTCTCATTTAATGTGTGTCTCATTGTATTGAATTTTACTCTTATTTAATGTCATGTGATGGTTTTCCACTACCTCCAGGTACCCATGTTATGGAGGGCAGTGGAAAGATGTTGGTGACAGCAGTGGGACCTAACTCACAGACAGGAATTATCTTTGCACTCCTCAATGAGGCCCCAGAGGATGAGCCCGATGACAACAAGAAGAAAAAAGGGGATGATGATAAGGAAGCAGGTACACAGCTGGCATTTCTTATAAACATCCATGATATAATTTTTAATAGGATAATATAAGGTGAAAATATCCCCCATTACAGGTGAGCTGTATAGGCCTTGATCATAATCAAATCGGTCAGTAGTGGTCAAAATGCCTTCATAAGCCAATCAAATCTCATAATTTTTTTGTCTGTCTCATCTGCCTTATGATTTGTGTTTTTGCTCCCAAAAGGCACAAAAATCCATCACCTTACTAGGATTTAAACTCACGTCTTCTGAATGGAAGCCCAGCATTGTAACTGCTTAGCCAGTATATTTGTAAAAATCAACATAATGAAATCAACAATAGTTTACTTTTTACACAATTATTTAGGTTTTTTATTTTGGAGTAAGTTGTTAAGAATTCACTTGATTATAGTGTGTGTGTATGTGTGCGTCCCTCTGTGTGCATGCGTGCATGTTTATGTCTGTCTGTCTGTCTGTCTGCCAGTGTGTGTATGTGCGTGTGTATGTGTGCGTGCATGAGTGGGGTTGGGGGGCTGAGGTGAAATGTCAGAGGCTGCTCAGTTCTGCTTGATTTATGTTTAGTGTGTGTGGGATGCTATAGTCTGCTTGATTCTGATTCATATTTATATTTAGTCAGTCACTAAGACTGAGTGAGCTAGAGGTCGCCCATGCAAGCGAGGGATAAATGGAATATCTGAGGCCATTCATGTCAGCATCTATATAGCATACCGAAGGCTTGCATCAGATGTCGCTCCTAAAATTGATGCTGAAAGGCAAAATCTTCTTCTTCTTCTTCTTTTGTTCGCTTGAAATAAATTATCTATATCTGCAATGTTGTCTCTAGTATGAACATCACTGTCTTCTGTAATTCACTCAGTAACCTGTAAAGTTTGACTTGCTCCGATGTTTCTCTTGGCCAAAGGTTTTGCCTTGATATATTGGATTTGGGACAGTCTTGGAGGACATGATGTGTTGTCTCAGGTGCCAATCCAAAGGCACAGTATAGGTCTAGAGAAATGAAAAAGATATGTTCAGCGTGGTGGTTGGGATGTTACAGTCTTAGTCTTAACTGATCATGATTTATGTGAATTTTTGTAGATAGAATATCTTGAATGAAGTTGCCTTGAAATAAACTGACCCATGAAGAGAATGAACTGCTTACATCAGATGGAGACAATCTACATTCTCTAGTCATATCATGAGAAGGAGAAAATTGGAGTACATGGTGGCAGTTGGAAAGTTGGATGGGAAATGAGGGAGACTGAGAGAAAAGATGCTGGACTGTTTGACATCATGGCATGGAAGATCATCTGTGTCAGAATTGATAGGATGTTCACAAGACTGAAGGTTGTGGATAGACATGACTACTAACGCCACCTAGCATGGACTATGGAAGATCATCTGTGTCAGAATTGATAGAAAGTTCACAAGACAGAAGGTTGTGGATAGACATGACTTCTAAAGCCACCCGACATCCATTATGGATAATCATCTGTGTCAGAATTGATAGAAAGTTCACAAGACTGAAGGTTGTGGATAGACATGACTACTAACGCCACCTAGCATGGACTATGGAAGATCATCTGTGTCAGAATTGATAGAAAATTCTCAAGACAGAAGGTTGTGGATAGACATGACTACTAACGCCACCCAGCATGGACTATGGAAGATCATCTGTGTCAGAATTGACAGAAAGTTCTCAAGACAGAAGGTTGGGGATAGACATGACTACTAACGCCACCTAGCATGGACTATGGAAGATCATCTGTGTCAGAATTGATCGAAAGTTCTCAAGACAGAAGGTTGGGGATAGACATGACTACCAGTGCTACAAGGCATGGACTATAATAATAATAATTTGGAATGATAATCTGCTTGATTGATCATGTAACTGGTTCTTTGCAAAATGATGCACTTATCATGGCATGGCTGAAAGCTGCTCATTCTCTTGCTAACTTTCCTGACTTTGTGAACTATCATGCTCACAGTGTGCTTATATATTCTGTTTGCAGTTAAGCTGGTTAACCCCTGCCTCTTCTTCCAGGAATCAAACCCTCAATCACTGTAGATATTTAAAGTAGAAAGGATGTTTGAGTCTGCTTGATTGTGATTGATATGCCTCTCAGTCTTGGGAGTATCCTAGCTACCTTTAAAAATTATTATGGGGTAAGAAGAAAAAAAGGGGTGGGGGTCAAAGACCTGAGCATCCACCCAATTATTATTGGCTGAGAAATGTTGCAGAGAGGTGCTGGTGGGAAGTGGGGGAACTGAAGGAGTCTGAACCTCACCTCACCCATTTTTAGTGTGCCTAGATCATGAGGAGGGTGTGGTTGGGGACTTGAGCCCTCCCCCATTATTTTTTTTTAAATTGAAGGTTGCCTCACACCCCCCCCCCCCCCCAAAAAAAAAACACCATCTTTTCCCCACTAATTATTTTGCCTAGAAATAATTAAGAAGTGTTTTCTTCATGGCGGTGCGCCTCACTGGAATTTAAAATAGGCTCCAGAAATTATCCTGGCAAGTACAGGTGGTCAGTGGGATGTTTACCATATCACCCAGTGTGTGCTGATTGGTTGATAAAACATATGTGCCGTGCATCATAAGCCCTGTGAGCCAGTGGTATGAAAAGTCCATTGCATACTAACATTCACTTTTGCTGTCACCACCACAATGCAGCTGCCAGCCTCCGGGACCAGGAACAGAAAAAACCACGTGAGTCCTTTTTTGTGATCATTTTATTTGACTCAGAGCATGACAAGTCCTTTTTGGCATTGACTTTTGATTCAGCGTGTTTTTAAGTTGGCTCTGATTTTTTTAAAAATATTTTTGTAGATACATTTTGGTTGGCTTTTGTTTACAATTCTGGCCTGTTCCAAGCTTCGTCAAGACACAGCTCTATGGTACACAGGAAAATTTTTGCTGCATGATTTTTTTAAAAGTTACAGGTTTCAGTCAGGAGGATCGACTTAATTGTACAGGGATCTCTTGTAGAAATTGCACTCATTAACTGAAGGCAGCAACCGTGAAAAAAAAAACCACGACCTTGACGCGCCAAGCGGCTTGGCCACAGAGACCTCCCCAAGCTGCATGATAGCTTTCATCAAGGCTACTGGCCGACTGATATAAATTTTTCTGACAAAAGAATCAAATAAGAAAAAGATGTTTATGATTCTACTTAATGCTGAAGTGATCTATTAATAATTTTAATGTGTGCTTCATTTTATTTATCTTTTATGTACTTTGTTCTTTCAGTGTTCTATTTCCAATTTTTACTGATAACAAATGTATATTCATAACACAGGAAAGTATATATATATACACATATATATATGTATAAGATATATATGTATATACAAGGTCTGATAATTAAGCAATGAGACTAATTCCATAAAAATCAAAATAATCAACAGTTGAACATATAACCTGAATCTCATTTAAAGTAAGCTCCCTGTGCATTGATACGGCAAGTGGCACGATCTAACAAACACTGGTACTACCTCTGTAGTTCTTCAGATGTTACTGCCCTTTGGATTTCATCAGTATCATTAAAGAAGTGTCTTTTCAATTGTAACTTTAATTTTGGGAATAGAAAAAAGTCACTGAGAGACAAATCTGGGGAATAGGATGGAAGGCTGAGAACATACACTTGTTTTTTGTCCAAAATTCTTGTTTTAATGATTTCTCTTGGGTACTAAACCCGCTGATGTTTTTGGTCATCAGACAACAAACCGGCAAGCAACTTTTTTCTTTATAAAATCTTGCACTAAAATGTTATGAATGGTCTCTCTATTAACACCAGATTCATCTGCCATCATCCTCACAGTAAAACAATAATCTTCTTGTATCCGTTCTCTGACTTTTACAATGAATTCATCATTATGAACAGGTATGCAGGATGCAGATATGATTTTGACAACATCAGCCATCGAATTCTGCCTGGCGCCATAAGCCTAGTGCACCAATTTTGTAAACATTTTACTAATTAAATGTCTGGATAAAGGGAAGGTACAGTCAAAACATTCACAATGGGGTTAACTCTGGCTAATGCATCTCATTACTGGTAATGTGACAAGAATGTTCTGGTACTACCACACACACAAAATCTAATGTAGCACAGAGCAAGGCGAAAACCATACAAAAAGATATGGAATGTCATACAATCTTAGAAGAAGAAAAAAAAAACTAGTACATTAGAAAGAGTATAGCTTCCAAATCTTCAGTGGAGGAGGAAAAGAAGAGGCCGACACTTTTTCATTACTGTTAACCCTCATGGAACCAGTGAATCTCTGAGTTACAAAGAACACTAGATAAGAAAGAAAGGCTGGGTGACAGGCAAAGGGAAATCTCTTGTCGATGTAAAAGCAAAGCCATTTTTTATCTGACTGATATTTTTAAATAATTGATTTTTGCTGAAGGATGTTAATGTCTTTCCTTCTTATGATGTTAGATTTTGTATTTCTTCTTTTTCACTTTGTCATAACTATAATATTAGTGTGAAATTTTTTTTTTTTTTTTTTTTTTGGGAAAATCATTTCATTTTTTCTTTGCTGTTACTTGTGTGGATTTTAAGTACTGTTTTTTTTTCAAATTTTTTTTTTCAACTCTACCCTGTTTTCTGAAATATACTTTTCTGTTGTTACTTATTGATTTCTACTGTTCCTTTATCAGTCTCCCTACCTGTCTGTCAGTATCTCTCTCCATAATCTCTCTCTCTCTCTCTCTCTCTCTCTCTCTCTCTCTCTCTCTCTCTCTCTCTCTCTCTCTCTCTCTCTCTCTCTCTCTCTTTCTCATTGTGTTATCCATCATGTCTTTTCCGGTGTTTGTTTTTGAGATGATTTTGAAATACAACACAGCATGAAAATATGAAATTTGTAAATAAAATGTAAGGACTAATGCATTCAAATGATGCAGAAGCTCCATCAGATTCGTTTGTCCATAGAATATTTCAGTTGAGTTAGATTTTTTTATTTTCAATAGTTATTATTCCCATGCTTTATATACCCGGTTTTACATTGGTCTGTAATCAAATTTGTTTACACATGGAACTGAAGAGAATGTAGGATTTGAATATAGAGCAAGATTGAATTTAATTCCAAGTAGTTGAATCTTTACCTCCTTTTTGCATGAGGTTTATGTAGGCATTGTTTCTTAGCAAATACATTTGATGCCTAATAGGTGCAGGTGCTTTAGAAGTAAAGTGTCAAGAAAAAAACAAATGTGCACTTCATTAGTTTATCAGGATGTGATTGTTGACTAAATAAATTGATTGGCTAATAACTGGATAGGGGTGTGTCAGTTTTAAATGAACAAATTTGATTGGCTAATAGGTTAAGCTGTGTGAGCAGGAAGTAATAAAGTTTCCAGTGGGTGCGTTTGACTGACTGAAAGGGTGAGTGTTCACATTTTCATTAAATGCAGTTGATAGCCGTATAGACTAGGGTGGGTCAGTTTGCAATAAAAACTTAAATCAGCAAATGTGTGCCAGAGGTCTGAACTGTTCAGCTGGGAGAAAGGTGTTTAATGCAAGAAAACAATAATTTAGTGGTCAGATGAACAAAAGTATTGTCTTGTGGAAATCATGGGTGCATGCATGGTGTGATAGTAACTGAAGACCAAAGCATGGTTGATTTTTCTGTTTCATATCTCAGTACATAAAATGTTTCCTCTAGTATGCCTGCCCATTCTTTTGTTTCCGACCTGTGATAGCCCAAAACTTGCAGCTGTTGGCTGTTTTTTTTTTTTTTTACCTTTCCTTGCATGCAAACTAAATTTTGCATGATCAGCATTTAACTGTATAGCATCTGCATCATTTAACTGCATTACTTTACTAAAAAATGTCATCTTTTTAACCAAGTTTTTACAGTTATTGTACAAGACAGTTGCTTTTTCCAAATGGCAAGGATTGTTACATAGATAGAGAACGTTTATTGAAGAACATTAATGCTAGATCGTTTATGCTTCAATATTTAAGTGACACGATTTATATAAGAATTTTTATGCAGCTAACTGCAGGTTGTGATTTTGAAAACTAAGGTAACTAAAATGTTACTGCTACAGGTGGGAACCGTGTGTGCTACAGTAGTGCAGTGACTAGGGCTACAGTAGTGCTGTGACTGGTGTTACAGTAGTGCAGTGACTGGGACTACATTAGTGCAGTGACTGAAGCTACATTAGTGCAGTGACTGGGGCTACAGTAATACTGTGACTGGTGCTATGGTAGTGCAGTAAATAGTGCTACAGTAGTTCAGTGACTGGTGCTACAGTAGTTTAGTGACTGGGGCTACAGTAGTACTGTGACTGGTGCTATGGTAGTGCAGTGACTGGGGCTACAGTAGTACCGTGACTGGTGCTACAGTAGTGCAGTGACTAGTGCTACAGTAGTGCAGTGACTGGTGCTACATTAGTGCAGTGACTGGGGCTACAGTAGTACTGTAACTGGTGCTACAGTAGTGCAGTGACTGGTGCTACAGTAGTTCAGTGACTGGGGCTAAAGTAGTACTGTGACTGGTGCTATGGTAGTGCAGTGACTGGGGCTACAGTAGTACTGTGACAGGTGCTACAGTAGTGCAGTGACTAGTGCTACAGTAGTGCAGTGACTGGTGCTACATTAGTGCAGTGACTGGGGCTACAGTAGTACTGTGACTGGTGCTACAGTAGTGCAGTGACTGGGGCTACAGTAGTACTGTGACTGGTGCTACAGTAGTGCAGTGACTGGGGCTACAATAGTGCAGTGACTGGGGCTACATTAAGTGCAGTGACTGGGGCTACATTAAGTGCAGTGACTGGGGCTACAGTAGTACTGTGACTGGTGCTACAGTAGTGCTGTGACTGGTGCTACAATAGTGTGGTGACAGGGAATACAGTAGTGCTGTGACTGGGGCTACAGTAGTACTGTGACTAATGCTACGGTAGTGCAGTGACTAGTGCTACAGTAGTGCAGTGACTGGGGCTACAGTAGTACTGTGACTGGTGCTACAGTAATACAGTGTGGTGCTACAGTAGTGTGATGACTGGGACTACAGTAGTGCAGTGAACGGTGCTTCAGTAGTGCGGTGACTAGTGCTATGATAGTGAGGTGATTGGTACTACAGTACAAGCAGTGACCAATGCTTGCCAATCAGTTTCGGGGGTTTGATTCTCCATAAAAAAATATTTCGAATTGACAGACTCCCATGTTGACCCAACCTAAAAGGAAATCAGGTATTATTCTGGGAAGCAAAGATGGCCAGTGGGCTAATGACCTATCACCAGGTGTTTGCTAGTTTGTTTGTAAATATATGATATGGAATAACACCATGTGGCTAGTTTATCACCTCATGAGTGACTAATTCTTCCTCTCCTTTTTTGTGTGTGTGTTGTTGCTTACTTTCTTATAAGACTTCTATTTTTACCAAATCTGTATATTATGTCCTCTCTTCTGACTGCTGTTATTCATATTCTATTACCTTATATTTAATCATTATGAATTTCTAATTTTTCAGTAAAATTGTGTCATCTTATAATTTGTCATTTACGTTTTTTTTTACTTCGAGTTAGTTGTCATTAACATTCTATCATCTTATAATTTGTCATTCACATTTTATTTTTCTACGAGTTAGTTGTCATTAACATTTTATCATCTTATAATTTCTCATTCACATTTTATTTTTCTATGTGTTAGTTGTCATTAGCATTTTATGATCTTATAAGTTGTCATTTACATTTTAGTTTAC